TTTTTTTTTTTGGCTAAATGAGAGATGTGATTTAAACGAAATATGAATGGTTTTCTTCAGTGGTTTGTAAAACTAGCTCTACTGACAGTATCCAAAGGAACAATCTGATAACTGTTTAAGCAAAATCTGGGAATGGAGTTGTTAGCTCCCATATCTTTATTTTCCTCTTTCACATAAAATAAAAACTACCTCTAACTGAAGGTATCTGCACTGAAGGCATGATTATGAAGTAAATAGCTCATATTTAAGTACTGAGAACAAATTTATTCTGATTCTGATTATAGATCAGAATTTTCCCCTTTCTGTGATCACCATAGACTTGTGGACCCACTCCACATCCCAAATCAGTGCATAACCTCCTCAGACTTAGGAGTTTGTCCTTAAAAAGAGGTATGAGGACCCTCCCTGGTGGCGCAGCGAGTTAAAGCACAGCACTAAGAAGCTAAAGCCACTTCAACATGAGTTCAATTCCTACCTGCCCCGGAGGTGACACACATGGTCCAGAAGACCTCTCCTGACCCGCCCGCTGCTCCCCTCAGCAGTGTACTTCGTCGATCTGCCTGTTCTGCTCCCCACTCTGTCTCCTCTCACTGTCCCTTCACCATTGGCCTGTACCCCAGTTCTGTATGCATAAATAAATTAATATAAAAAATAAAAAAAGAGGTCCAAGCCTAATATGCAGTCAAACTGTGGTGTTCAAACACAGCCAAAGACAGTAACCATACTTTAGGGAGCTTCGACATGCTGCAGAAAGTATCCTGAGATTGCTGGCCCTGCATTTCATTCATCCTTCAGGGACCTATGCTGAGTATCTATAGCGATTAAGCTAGACTTGCGCCTGACTGTACATGCCAGTTTATGTGAAAGTCTACTACCACTCAGACTTCAAGAGGATATTAATGGAGCACATAAAATAGTAGTACAGAAATTATTGGTTTTTTGTAAGAAGCTATAATTTTTTACAGAGAAATTAAAATTTTGTGCTGAGAAATGTAAAGGTTCTAACAAGTTGAATATGAAATGTGAATTTGCTTTTTTCCATTCAGCCTTCCTAGTCTCCGCCCAATGTTGGATGTTAATTATTTGCCACTGACAGACATGAGGATAGCACGGACATTTTGCTTTACCAACGAAGGACAGGCATTATACCTCGTCTCTCCTACTGAAATTCAGCGGTTAACATATAGCCAAGAGATGTGTGACAATCTACAGGTAAGTCAGGCACATTTAGAAATAACCACTGGACAGGGCTGTGAAGAGAGAGAATGAGCAAGATGTCTAAAAGCTAAAATATGACTGGACCAGACCATAAATATGACTTCCCTAGACTATGTTTTGAAACGGCCATCATTGTGACCTTTACAAGACCCTCTGGCAATGGTTCTAGGTAAAAGCTGTTGTTATTACTTGACAGGAAAGAAAATAGGAGATAAGAGTTATGAAGATCATTCATTTTAATGATTAGTTTTTGTTGTTTGTTATTGTTTTATTTAATTTTTTTTTTTTTGGCCTGCGGAGAATTCTCTGAAAGATTATAAATTCTCCCTCCAAGGAGAGGGATATGTTATGTACACACAAAAAACTCAGGGAGTTCATGTACTTTTGTAAAGAAATATTAATTTTGGTTAAGAGCCATACAAAATAAATACATATCCTATGGTTAAAATTGGGCATTTGTCTATGATCACAGCAGTAAGCAGAATTTAGGAGCTGAATAAATATAAAGGCATATCTAACCTTAGTTAAGTAAAAATGATAACATTTTAAATACTTAATGTTCCACCACTCAGTATACAAATAAGAAATTAAAATACAAATTAAAACCAATGTATTATGGTAATAGAGGTTAAGAGAGAACCGAGCTATTACAGTTGTTATTTTGCCCACTTGTATGACTTTGCTATCTGTATGTTCTCACATAGTTGTGAGAATTAAGAACGCATGTGAAGTACTAGGCAGAGTTAAGTACATAGTTCTTAAAATAAATAATAAATGCTATTATTATTACTTGACAAACACATATTGAGCTTCACTATTGTGCTAGTAATTGTCTAAGCTCTAGGAATACAGTTATAAACAAGAAAGTCCCTCCCTGCTATAGTGAAAGGGGTAAATAAAAAGAAAACACAATACTCTGTGGAGAATGCTGGTCTACAAGGTTGTACCAGGCTGAGGAGACTGTTAGAAGGTGGACGGAGCAGGAGGAAGGAAGGGCTGGGAAGAGTGAGCAGAAGTTAGCCGGGTGACCGGATGTATGGGTAACAATATTCTCAACAGAAGTAGTGGCGGGGTCCTGGAAATTGCCATCAAAGTACAAAGTTAGGAACTGCAAAGAATGGAGGATGATGCTGGAGAATCAATAAAGAACATATCTTGGAGCAATTTATATCTTCCTTAAGGAAACTGGCATTTACTTAGAGGACAGTGGTTAGCAAATTTGTTTACTAAAACAAATCATCTGGTCGTAGTATGTTGACTGGTTTTGAGGAATTAAGATTGCAGGTAAGAAGAACAACCAGGTATTTTTAAATAATTAAGACCAAAAATAACAGTGGCTTAAATTAAAGCAGTCAACAGTGAGGATGGAGAAAGTTAGTATAATAGATTGGTTATATCAGTTGGATTAGAGAGTTATTTAATGTAGGAGTGAGGGGAAGGAAGAAATTAATAATTAATCCTAGGTTTCTCAGGGAACTAAGTAATAGGCAGTGCCATTTCCAAAGAAAGAATTCAGGGGGAAGAAAACAGATCTGGAGAGTAGAGGGGAAAGGAGAATCAAAGACAAAATCATGCTGCATGATCATAACAATGTTATTAGGAGATAGATCTCCTGGCTTTGCTTGATGTTCCAATGAACCACAAACTTTGTTCTGCTGTAGAAAAACCCTGAGAGCAAATTAAAATTCTCAATAACCAAAGCAACTCTATGTTGATTCTGATTTATTATTGTGTTTCTTACAAGATTTTTTCACTCCTTCTAAATTACATCAAATATTGAGAACATTGCATCTCACCATAAGATCTGCCTATTTTAACTCATTTAAATTATGTGAGCCACCCCTCCCTGGTGGCACAACAGGTTAAATCACAGCACTATGACACTCTCTGGAGCCACCAGCAGAAGTTCTATCGCTGACCAGGGAGCTGACCCACATGGCTCAGAGACCTTTTCTGTCTCATCCATTGCTCCCCTCAGCAGTGTATTTTAGTCCATCTGCCTGCTCTGCTCCCCACTCTGTCTCTGGTGAATCTTCTCACCCCCCACATCTCTGGCCTGTACCCAATTCTTGTATGCATAAATAATAAATCCTAAAAAAATTATCCTGAGTCATTTCACACATTTGTACTTGGTAAAAAATTGATTCAACCTTCCCACACATAACACCAATAGCCTCCTTTACATGGGGCAGTCTGTACTCAGCTGAGGAATAGGGAATAGACAAGGATAGCGAAGAGGCTACCACAATCGAAAAAGAATCAGAAGTCTAGATTGGAAATCAATGATCAGGTGGAAATTAACCCTGGGGTGAGTCTATTCACTTCCCAAGCTTTCTAATTACACAGGAGAGAAGAGAAGATAGAAAAATGAAAATTTTATATCAGTTACTGGAGAAGGGAAGGAAACACAGAAGAGAAAATGGCAGAAATAAGAATTGAGAACAAAGGAAAATCCTTATGGAAAGCACAGTATCATCTTTTAACTGTCTACTTTTAGTTACCCTAATGCTTTCTTCTTTGAATTTGGTACAGGACATGCTAGGAGATTTGTTTACTCCCATAGAGACACCAGAAGCTCAAAATAGGGGCTTTCTCAAGGGACTGTTTGGTGGAAGTGGACAAACATTTGACAGAGAAGAGCTCTGTAAGTAAATTCCTACTTTGGATCACAAACTAGAAACTGTCTCTCCCTAATTTAATGTAATATGAGATCTTAAGCTCAACGTCTCGATTAGTTACCAAACATAAAATTGATCACTTCATATTAGGGAAAAATTTAACACAACTGCTATATATTATTCATACAAATATGGAGTAAGCTAATTAGTGTATCATTTGCATATACACCACAGTTATAAATCAGCATGAAGATATTTGATTACTAAATCAGGGGAAATATTTTTTTATCAGCCTGCTTTAACTACTATGGAGAAATATTCTTTATTCAGACAGTGAAGTTTATTCATGCTACAGAATAAATTACTTCAAAAATCTACCCATGAGATTTTGATGACCAATAATCAAAAAGCTGTAGCAAGTACTAGGGAACACTTTCAGATAAAGAATACATTTTCCAGAATAGCTTACTGCCATTTGGTCTTGAAGATCAATAATCCTTTTCTCTTGAACTTTAACTATGCAAAATATCTGGATCCCTCCATACAATGGAAATATTTGACCATAAAAAGGAATGAAGCTCGTTACATGTTACAATATGGATAAACCTTGAAAATATCATGCCAAGTTTACCGAGTCCAAAAGGTCACACAATCTGATTCCAAGTACATGCAATGTCCAGAATATGCAAATCCATAGAGACAGAAAGTAGATTAGCAGTTACCAGGATGGGGGCCCTCAGGGGAAACTACCAGTAGGTCTAGGATTTCTTTTTGGGGTACAAATATGGTCAAAAATTAGATAAGTGCTGATAGTTTCACAGCTTGTGAATATGCTAAAACTATTGAATTGGGTCTTCTCTGGTGGCACAAGAGGTTAAGCGCAGCTCTATGAAGCAATCTGCAGCACAAGGTCAATCTCCAGCCAGGGAGCTGACCTCTCCTGTTTCTCCATTGCTCCCCCCAGCAGTGTATTTCAGTCAATCTTCCTATTCTGCACAAAACTCTGTCTCTGGTGACTCCTCTCACCCCCAGCACCTCTGGTCTGTACTCCACTTCTTGTGTGCGTAAATAAGTACACTTTAAAAGAAAAAAGCTATTGAACAGCTTAAAAGGTTGTATTCAATGGTAAGTGAATTATATATTAATAAGTCTCCTATATATTTAAAAATTAGATTTTATTCCTAATTATACACCCATGGCAATACTCACTAATTTCTACCAAGAACACTGTTCAATAAAAAGAAGTCTACTTCATTAAAATGAAATGAAATGAAATTGAGCTTTGGTCTTTTTTATGCAGTAACACAATTTCAACATGTGTAAATTAATGTCAGTCATGCATATGTCCCATTCTCTAGTTACAGAGAGAGATATTTAAAAATAGCAACAACTGAGACCTAGAAGGGTGATAGCAAGATGCATAGAAAAAGTTGAAGATTTGGGCAGACATTCGAACAATGAAGACTGTGATGGGAACAGACAAAAATAGGATTAATTATGAGGCCACATATATTGTAAGCATCCCAATTCAACATCAAGAGATGTAGTTATGCCGTGTTGTATGTAAACACACAGGCCTATGGTAAGAATCTCACAGCCTCTTTCTTCAGCATTTCTCTTGGATAATAGCTAACTCTTCAAAACATATACCTGTGACAGGATCTAATGTCTCCCTTAATGAGAATTATAACAGAAATGTTTAATGTAAGTACTTTGTTTTTCAGTGATAAACTTGAGTGTAATTATTCGAATTACTGACAAAATGTTTTAAATTGCCGTGGTTTCAACTCACAGTTGGCGAAGCTTCGGCAGGAAAAGCGTCCCGCAGCCTTGCACAGCACATTCCGGGACCTGGTGGCATAGAAGGGGTGAAAGGCGCTGCTGGCGGGGTCATGGGAGAGCTGACCAGGGCGCGGATTGCACTAGATGAGAGAGGCCAGAGGCTGGGAGAGCTGGAAGAGAAAACTGCAGGCATGATGACCAGCGCAGAAGCATTCTCCAAACACGCACATGAGGTAAAGTGCCCAAGTCGCGGCCTCCGCGGAAAGCAAAACATTATTAGAGATCAGGGCCCAGACAAGTAAGTTTACACTTACACTAAACATAATCCATTGTGAGAGCCACAGAAAACTGGATCTCATTTTAAGTGTTCTAATCTCCCAGTATTGGAGAGATAAAAGGTAGTAATTGGGTAAAAATTTCAGAGAAAAATATCCATTGTTCTGATACTTGGAGTTTATATTATACACCAGCTCCTAGAAAGGTGTTTATGTGGATTACATCGTCCCAAGAAGGTGTAAGGGGCAGTAGAGGCCGGGATCCACATATGCCCTGTCTTAATCAGTAAAAATTTTAAGAGCTTGATTTTAAAAATTATGTGTACTTTACTCACAAAAGAAAGTTTTGAGATTGAACTAGATATGCATGATTAGCTCAACATGAGTTTACTCGGACTAGCACTTTAAAGATATTTTAAAAACATGCTGACTTTTTTTTTCTTTGCAGTTAATGCTGAAATATAAGGATAAGAAATGGTACCAATTCTAAGCCTGTAAAGAAGCTGTGACTGCTTTATGAAAACATTATTCAGGGAAACCAAATTTATTCCCAGCATCACTTTTCAACTGTTAGAAGCCAGTTTCTTCTACAAAATGTTCCATTACAGTTCATCTGAAGATATCAAAAGGGAGATTTATCAGAGACACTGTATAACCCAAAGGCTGGGACCCTCGTTAAAATCCCATGATGTGGTGGAATTTGCTTCTTCCTGTGTGGAAGGGAGCTCTCATCTTGGCATGTCAATTGCTAAGGATTTATGTTTAGGAACTACGGGAGTCCTTCTGATTTGAAAAAATCCTGTAAAAACAAAAGCATTAATGCACATAATGAAAAAAAAAACCTTTGCATGATAAATTAACATCTTAAGAGGAAAAGAAAACAAGCATGTTGTGACAGAAGAGAAAAAGATTCATGGTAAACTATTTTTTATAAATTGGGCCACACCTGACAATTAAAAAAAAATTTGCATTAGAAGCTATCAGTGCATTTTAAATATATTTGTCATACCCAACTGAAAAAGAAAACTAAACAAAAGCCAGAGTTTGCTTCTCTTCTATAACTCATTCTATTAGGACTTTGTTAATTCTTATGGCAAGAGTCCAGTTAACATTTCTTTCTCTCCATAATATGTACATCATTTACAATTCTCCGTCATAATCAAGCATTGCCAGTAATTATTTCCATTGCAATTACTTCTATCCTTAAGACCTTTAAATCGGGTCTCTATTTTTAGCCACAAACCATGCAAGGTCAGTCATCTCTAACTGCTTATTCAGCCTGGCTTGTACTCTGCAGGGGAGTTGAGGATAGGTGAGGGACAACTAGCTATAGGAACCATGCAGTTAGCTTTGTGAACTGATTTCACACACTCTGGTTTCAGTTTCTCAAGTGATATTTTTAACGGTCCATTTGTATCCTTATCTGCCAGTTACACAGTATATTACTGTTCGAATCCAGTGGGGTCTTCAAGGCAAAGGTGCTCTTGCAGCCTGGCACTCACAGACCAGACTGGTCATTCTCTTCAATATGATTCAGTAAAACCTCAGTTCACATTTTGGGAAAGGAATTCTGAATTATTACATTTCTGATTACAAGGGCTTTCACTAGAAACTACTTTGGTTCAATACTTACAACTGAAAATCTTTATAAAACATGGTAGCATTTTTGCTATCTTAGCCACAGCCATCGTTAGACAACTGAAAAACACAGAGATGATACAAAATCACTAGTTTTATCATTCATTCATCTTAAATCACAGGGTTATAGATACCAAACACCCAGTCCTTCTTAAAAATTCCCTTTAAAATGGAGTACAGGATATCTTTGACATGATAGAAAGTATCATAACTGTTCTGCAGAGATCAGCCAGAGGCAAATAAAATAAAGACACTTGCTATCATTATTTAACATGATTCTGGAAGTCAAATCACAGGAATGAATACATATACAGATTCCACAACCCATCCTTCATATGTTGTTTTTTAGCATCTTTTAAAAATGAATGGTTATTGAATTCTGATTAATCATGATTTTACTGGATTTAAATGTTTCTTAAGAATTCACCATTTCCCTGAAGTCTACGTTATTTTAACAGCCAAAAATAGTATTTGCTTGTTTTTTGAAAGATAGTTTTTCTTAATTTTAGTGAACTTTATGAAGTGGCACTTCCTTTACAAGATTTTTGGTAATTTTGATAAGAGCAAAGATGTTGGCAAGCACCATAAAACATCTTCCAGGATAGCATTTTCAGTGTCCATGAAATGTCAATTCTTAAAAAAAATAATAAATAATAATAATAGTAATAATAATGAAAGCTTTAGGATCGCAGAAGATGACTTGGAAATATAAATATGACACATAAAATTATAAAGTATCCATAAGACTATTAAGGACATTTGACATGAGGATTTAAAAAATGCTAGTAGCCAAATTTCAGTGCCCAATTTGTACCATCAACAAAGACCCCATTTTTTGGAAAAAAAATTAACTATCTTTTTATATTTAAAAATAACTTAACACTAAAATATTCATTTACTTTATGAATTGATGGAATTCAATCCAGATGGCATTAAATCAACTTCAGAGGAAGTCCCTGCTAAGATTTTATTTCTTTGCTACATCAGGGTTTCTCAACAGTGGGACTATTAATAGAAACTTCTTTGTTGTGGGAGACTGTTCCTTTGCACTGTAGGATGTTTAGCAACTTCTCTGACCTCTGTCTGCTAAATGCTGGTAGCAACTCTTAAGTAATGACAATTATGTCTCCAGCCATTGCCAAAATTTCTTCAGGTCACTTTCTCCATGATTAATGACAAAATTAAGTGTGAATATGTAATATATGTCTTGTATAAACTGTACATCATAAGTACACAGTCTTAAGGAGATACACTATTATACCCAAACTTAACATGTGTGGTTCATATGCAATAAAATGCTATTTTCGAGAAAACTTATATGACTTGGTGGAAACAATTACAGAATATTTTAAAGGATAAAACACTACATTTCACAATGAAGTGTCTAAAACTCTGGCTTAAATAAATTTATCAACAGTTTATAGCTAGCATATTGATTGAAAGTAAAAAGGTGCTTCTGAAATGTTTGAAGAGGTTTTCTTAAGTAATTTAAATGTGTCTTTTAATATTACTTTTATAAACCCTTTCTTAATGGAAGGGTAACTTCATACCATAAACTCCTGATTCATGGAATATAAATTAATGAGGTTTTACTGTATCAAAATTATTTTTATAATTCAAAGAGGCAGCAATAACAAGAATCTAATGTGGATGTGATTTTTCTCTTTGAACATTTCTGTTCTGTTGCACTGAGCCTAGCATACACACACCTCACTGCCACCACCTCATCATCTTCATCTTTGGGAAAAGAGTACCGTCAACCCACGTCGTTCTTTACATCTTTTTTCTCTACTATTTAAATATCTTTCTTCTATCTTGCAATATAAGAAAACTATTCCTAACATTTTTGACAATGATAGTGAAAATGATTCCGGACCTTGGTTGCCATCAAAATATCTGCTAAGATGGCATCAAAAGATAAGACCTGTAATTGAGTATCAACAAGTTGACTTTATCTCCCTATGACTCCTTCAAGAGATAAACCCTTCTTAGTGTCCCAGGAGAAAATGGGCCTATCAGTTCTATTCATCAGTGACAAGGTAGAAATATTTGTTTTCCTAGTTCTCATAATGTGAGCAATAATACCTGCCATGAAATCACTCAGTAATGTTAGAGTTGGGTGAAAAGCATGATTAATTTACCAGTTATTTTAATCCCCTAAAAATCAGTACAACTGACTTTGCTGCCTACATTTCGCTGAGACCCAGACTTAGTACCCACACACCAGCGGGGCTGTGGTCTGACTCATGCAGGGAGACACTGACAGAACTGAGTGAAATGTTTTCTGATAATTCAGCCATAACAATAATTTTCCAAGTATTTCATATAATCTTTGAGTGATTCTGAAGTTAATAAGTCAAAATCCAGGTCACTATTCCTCAGAGTTTCAGAGTTTCAGTTTTCAGAGTTACCATCATTGTTCTCTGCTTAAGTTTCACTATGCTTTGAAGAAGCAAAAAAGTACATATTCATATGCCAACGTAAGAAAGAAAAGGTACATACATATATGCCAACATTTGTTAAAGGAGATTAACTGGCTGAAATACATTTGGCCAAAAGGAAGAATGAGTGGGTCTACAAAAGTAAACTAAAAATCCTCTCCTTGGTTTAGGATCATGGGACACTTGGAAAGAATGTCTGCACGAATATAGCTTGCTCCTGTGGGAAGATATGAAATCTGATCACTTTGGTTCAGAAAGGGTAGGCCATTCCTACCAGGCCTGTTTGCATCAAGAGAAACATGGTGGCCCTCACATGGTAGCCTGTGTCCTCGGTAACCCCAGGCCCATTTTCGTCTAGGTTGTTGGCCTACATGCCGCCCCAGGGTCGGGAATGCTCACCACAAGTTCTGAACTTGCACTGAGCACTGTGTCTTATCTGCACTGTCCTACGGAGCATGGTGGTCAGCATAGCAAGGTTAGAGAGCCCTCCCAGCACTGAATGCAGACTGGGGTAAGGCCTCATGTGGGAAAGGAAGGGGAAGTGCCAGTTTGTTGTGAGACAATCAGGGTGGAGCGGGACAGGGGAACCAGAGCGAAACAAAAGGGAGTTTGATGAGGAACCGTAATTAATGGTTGTTTTAATTTACATTTAGGTAGGGAAGTGATTCTCAACCTTGGCTATATATATAAGAATCACTTATAGAGCTTTTAAATTTCCCAACTGTATCAAAATCCCTTGAATGGATACCAAATATCAGTATTTTTGAATGCTCCCAGGTTTGTTTCAATATTTAGCCAAGGTTGATAACCAGTGAAGGCCAACTAAGGACGACGGGTGTATGTTGGACAGATACCCAAGTTCCTTCTGCAGGGTCACAGGAGGCAAAGAGTAGGAGATACACTGTTGACTGGATTAATACTTATTCTGTGTCACAGTCCAAAAGTTCCATACAAATTTCTGAACCAGCAGTATCCCATTAACTTTTAATAAGTACGTAATTGTGGTTTTTCTCTGTATGACTTGGTCATTAATAGTTCCAATTCAAGCATCTCGGGTTTTGACTGTTGCACTTAGCAAATGTGACATCACATGACATCAGAAAATAGCTTAGGAAATTCAACAGCATGGAAAGCTAAGTAGAAAGTTAAATCTCAATAGTAGGAAAGTAGAAATTCTCAAATCACTCTTTCACTAAACAGGTCTGAATTAATAATTCATTCTTCATTTGAAATAGACATGGGTACCAGGTACCTATTCTGCAATAGGTTTGTTTTATTGGGCTTTCTCTTAGGAAGAAGGGAAAACTTTTTGATTGTTATCTTAGCTCTGAGGGCAACCTGGATTTACTTTTTTAATTACTAGACATGCGCTTAAAGGGAAAAGAATGCCAAAACTCACTCTTTGGTCTCTAGTGCCCTGAAAGAGCACTTTCACCTTCAAAAAGTAATTCTGCCCATCTAAGGCAATAACACTCAATGAGAAAACTTGAGAGTTCTCGCCTCAATACTGTTGCCCTCTGGTTTTGGCCCACCCTTCTCAACTGCAAAGTCAGAAAATACACTAGGTGGTGGTCATGGACAAGTATACACAGGATCAAAATCTCTAATAACCTATACTTTTTAGTACTTAATTATGTGATGTTTTATCTAGGAAATAAGAAATGACATCATTGATGTATCTTTCATCTTCAGAATTTTTGCATCTTTTCAGAAAATGACAAATTACTATTTTTCTGTTGCACTTAGCAATTGTGACTATACTTAAGATTCTTGTAGTCTGTAGAGAT